TAGATGATAACAGTCAGGTAAAATGTAGCGGTAGAGTAAAACGTACCAGGCTCCTCGGCCCCAGCTCGCTTGCACTTACTTAAAATTCCTCTCTGTGCAAGTACCAGCAAGTCAGAGGCCGTGCACGTACAGAAAATGGGATTTTAGCTGAAGGCCTAAAACACTGCCTCTTCATTTGCTTAAAAGGTTAAAGAGAGCGTCTATACTAATTAAAAAAAAGAATAGTTCTGTTTCTGGGAGCCTGCTACATACACAAAGTTAGGGGGTTTTATTTAATCATTTTTATAAGTATTTTCTGGGTGAGAGAGTGAAAATACCTATACATTAATCATAGCCCTATCACAGAGCAAACAAGAAAGAAAACTAAATACTAGCAAATTCTTTAGGTGTTCAGTGCATTTCAGTGCTTTGCAAACTGGAACTATCTGAGCCCAGGCTCAGCTCTGATAATACAGGCAGAATCTCAAGAAGCGTCAAATGACAAGACTAGTTCAGCGATAATAAGTAAGAGGAATGCTCTAACAGAAACTCTCTGGAAATAGAAGTCTTCAAAGTGTAGAATCAACCTTCTATGTTTATCTTGCAGCACTAAGCTATATGACTAATAGTGCTGGAAAATGATTTAATTTAGAACAGGCACAATTTATTTAAAACCACGTTTGAGTACTTTTTTTCCAGTACGTTTATGCTGCTTGTAAACTTAAAGTCCCATTATCTTTCCCACGACAAGAAAACCTGTTTTAAATGAACTGTTCTTCTTGCCCCGCAACTACTGTCTCATCTGAAAATTCTGTTAATTATATTTACCAAATAGAGAAATTCAACTGCTAGAAAGTTGGGAGGAAGGGGATACAATAAGTTACAGAATAGTGCAGCTTCTCATATTCCTAGTATTTGGCAGTTTCCTACTTAAGTCATTTCCCTTTTAACCACAAGTTGTGCTTAAAATTTGTTAAGCTTAGTAATGCTTGAGTTTAATCTCTTCTTGCTTCGCTTGTCCAAACATACATTTCTGTAACAGGATTATTTGTGCAGTCTCTGTAATTATTCACACTACATAGTAGTAATATAATTTATTCTGATCAGAACTTTTTTTTTAATAGAATGATCAATGGGGAAGACCTGGTTTTCTGTCATGTTATTTACCCCATTGACAGGTACTTCCTTGAATTTGGAGGGAGGGCAAGAAGCAAACAACTGAAACCTTAAGTGGAGACCAAACATGTGAAATGTGAGTCCCAAAAATATTAAAGGTAAAAGAAGGAACCGAGTCAGAAATTGCTTTGAGTCCTGGTAGGGTTTAATGAGCGTACCTGAAAAAATCCACTGCCTCTAGTCTTAGTGATTTCTTTGACTGGTCTTGTGCTAAACACTCTAAAAAGGGGAAACAGAGGTACAATTAAAAATACATAGCTATAGAGACAACATTTTTACACTTTTTTCATTGTTTTCAACAGTTAACTAGACTAGACTAATATCTGCTGTCATACTTATATATCTTCCTCTTAAGGTGGATATGAATGAAAATGGAGGAGGAACCAGCAAAACTGTACAAGGTGTTTAAAGTTAAGGCATAGGGTAAATGCAACATGGTGAGGCTCTTCAAAAGGAAATCATAGGATGTCACATCCTAGACCCTAAATTAAAAAATGATCCTCTCTTAGTGCTTAAAAGTTACTGAAAGTCATTGAAACCTCATTGCTCATTAAAGGCTTTTGTACCTACTTGCACTTTGAGCTGCTGTCAGTCTAAAGTTTCATCTGAGAAAACCATATTGCTTCAGCAAGTATTGCCTCTTCTATATTGTTGTGTGGTCTTAGTTTGTTCTGTCCGAAAGTCATAAGCCTGTAAGAGCAGGGGATTCCCAATTCTGGGAGTTATTTTGCAGCAGCAACTTACAAGATCATATCTCTTGAATTACCATTAGTTAGAAGGACTATTAGACAATAGAGACGATTAGATTAATATTCTCTTTTGTGTTTACTACTACTACAGATTAGAGAGGAGCATATTCTTTGGCAAATGACATACCAAACATGTCAAGCATTTTTCTTTGCTTCTTTTTGGAAGATGAGAAATAATACTGATCTTAAAACATTTCAAGTGCATTAGTATTTGTCCTTTGGTGGCATCTACTGAACTTAGTCAGGGACCAGGACTATAAACACTTGCTAGCATAGACCTTGTTTGCAAAGGCAGGCCAGAACGCAGATCTGGAACAGTGCAGTGCTTTGCTTGTTAGCTCTTTTATTGCTTCTGTAAACCTTCATTAGCTTCCAGGCAGATGCAACTTCAGTTCCTGTAGTGCCTCAGTTGTAAAAACAACAGACCAAAAGCATAGGGAGGATCCTTTTTTATAGGATATTGTATAGTGTGCTGATTAAAAATCTTGAGACATCTGTTGTCTGTCATGACCTCACCAAATCACAATGGAAAACTGCTTGCTTGGAGAGAGGAAGACTGTTAACATCCAGTGCAAAACTCCTGAAGGTAAAAGCAGTGAGGTAGGAAGGAAAGAACGTTTGACCTTGGATTTGAAAGTGGATATCTAAATTGCCGCACTGCTGCTGCTCAGAAGCCTCTTTCAGTTTCTTGTCATAGCTGCTTTACCCTTCCCTTCTCAAGTTCACTGAAATGAACAGTGTTGTCTCATGCTGACGTTGCTTTTTATCCTGGTACATGTCATTAAAACAGCATAGATGTTCACCTCAAAATAGCAGGTGGCCAGAATTTCAAGGTTTATGTAAGAATCTAGGTGCTATTCTTCTTTCCATAAATACACCACAGTCCTGTGTGGGCTGTCTTACACTTGGCCTACATGTTAAGAGGGACTTTAATGTAACAAGCTGCCAGGCAGGAAGAGGACAGATTTGTGGATCATCTTGTATGGTACTGAGGAAAAGAAGGGTGATACCATGATAACAGAGTCTTCAGAACCCATTTGAACAATGAATTTGTCATTTGCAGAGTGGCTTGCTAACCTAACCCATAGCTTTGGGTTTTAATTTATTTAAAGTGTGCTATGTCGCTAAAAGGACTGTCACCTCTCTACTTTCGTATCTGCTGAATAAGCTAATAGGCATATTAAAGTGGCGCATGGAGTCCTTTGTGTTTAGTTTGTGTAGCAATTGGAACACCCTTAAGAGACCCAAGCAAACAACAGAAAAGTTAGGATAGAACTGCTTATTAGTTCTGAAGAGAATGTAATTGAGTAAGTAATTTGAATTTGCATGAAGAATTTCATCAGTTTAGAGAATATACAATCACGGTTCCAATCTTCATTTTGACGGTAGCTAATACTTGTAAAATTTTGGCTTGCAGTTGAGCTGTTACTGTAAGAAGCTGCTTTTGGGTCTGCATAGGGTCATTTCCACAGAAATTAGCTAAAACATAAATCAAAGTGAAAGATACAAAAGGAGTAGTTGGTGAAAGACAAGCAGGGACCACTTGCTTTGATTTGACTGTCAGTGGCTGGCCAGTCCCTTTCTGTTCACAGTGTATGTGTTTCTTATTTTTTTTGACTTGTTACTGTTGGACTAAAAGTTAAGACAGCCTCTCCTCGAAAATGTAACTGAGGCCTATGGTCTGTGGCCTCAGCTTCTTGGAACTCTCTGGGCATTCGTGTTTCAGTGATGTTCCTGATACTTTCTAGGGCTTATCTTTGGGATTGGTCTCTGTCTAACACAAGTCAAGTTTGAAGACTAACCTCTTCGATACTCTACTCTCCATTCTGGCTCCAAAGACTGCCTCTTCCCATGCAGCAGAATTGATAAAGAATCTCCAGAATCAATATAATTACTGAATTCTGAGTTATCAGCTGTGAAAATAGAGTCTTGTGAATTGCCTTACATCTGCTTCAGAAAGGTATGAATGGCTTCAAAAACACAGAGCAGCTTACAGTTGTAGGAAGATATCATTGTATTAGTTTGGGTGAAGCTTTTCTCCCATCCCCGCCCACCCAGTCCAAAGATCTATGACTTTCTTTACTTTGTGACAGTGTCTTGTCTCTCATGCCCTAGAAGCATGGTCATGTTGATTTTTCAATCTAAAAGTATGAGCTTCTGGCAGTCTTTTGGCAATAAGAAGTCACTTTATGATTAGTGTACACATTGGTGTAATTGGGGGCTTCCCAGAGACTCCCGTATTAGAAATATGTAAAGAAATCATTGGCTAGTGAGGACGAAGCTGTTTATCAGCAGTTAGCATGATATAAATATTAAATAACCATGATAAATAATATCCTTGTACTTCCTATTCCTGTTTGTTTCTAATTTCCTTTCTCAGAGATTACAGCTATCATGTTCCTGTTTCATTTGGATGAACCCAACTGATCATGAGTCTCCCACAGACATGAATACTGTTCTGATATTTTTTTTTTTTTTGGTCATATCAGGGAGTTTCAAGCTGTATTGAGATGCCACTTGCTGTTTAGTTGCCGGTCTCTTTTAACGATGTTTAATTCTGATGCAAGACATTTCCTTTTTGTGTGTCAATCTTAGCCCAGTTGTATTCATCATACACTTGATCGGTGACCTGCTTCTGGTTATGGTGCACTTGTTGGAATGTCTGTTCTGTGTTGGAGTTCAGAGTAGCTTTGTAGAGATCCACCTCTTTGCCAACAGTCAGGTTAGATACTCAATTGGAAATTTTTTTTGAGTGACCAAATATTTTTCCTCTCTTCTAAAGTAGGTTCCAAGTCAGTCCTTCATGAAAGGTCAGAAAAGTGCATTTGGATTCCTATTGACGGGGTGTTCTGGAACAGTAATGATGGAAAAGACAAACAGGCACTGCTGTCCAGAAAATTCAGTATTTTGTGTAACTGAAAACGTTTAAGTATCTCAGTGTTAATTGTTACTATTTAGGGCTTACAGCTTGTTGGGGGAACTGAGAAAAGAGCCACAAAGATTAGTCTATTGCAGTGACTCTTAGCAAACTTTGTCAATTGTGTGTAGGGACTGCTGCAAGTGCAGTGTGGAAAGACTACTGAAAGTTGTTGTAGTGCCTTTAGCATTATACAGTTGTGGTGCATTCCCAGATAAATGCAGTAAGTGTGGTTTTCACTTCAAAGGCTATAGAAAGCTCAAAGAACATAAAACTAGTCCCACAAAGTATTTTCATTACATGGTGTACTTCCAGAAAATTCAAATTATTAAGAAAAAGCTACTGTGTTCTAACTGGAAAAGTATTAGCATGAACATGTGCTCTATTATTACAAATAAAATCAAGCTATACAGGATAATGTAATTTCTGAGAGCTACAACCTACATCCGTAGCCTGCTCTGTTGCATTTCCTTTCTTGTACATCTTAATCTCAAAAAACAAACTGTAGAATAAAATTTTGCTATGTTCTGATCCTAAATCATTTAAAAGAGGAACTTGATTACAGTGTCTTGTCTTACAAAGTGCTTGTGCAGCTATTTGTGCTCCAGCTCATTACACTTCGTTTCTCATTTTAAAATATTTTTAAACTCTCTTCCATTTCTATATGAGCGTTTAGACTTAATGTATTCTCCAGAAATTTAGAAAAATGCTCTCTCCTTTATTGCACCATGGTACATAAATTACACTGGAGTATTGTCACAGCATGTTTTGCTGGAAAAGTGGATCCACCTTTAATATATATAGATCTTACGTGAGGTGCTGATGAATTTCTTAAAAAGTCCAGTAAGTCTTTCTCTCACCAGTATGTCTAGATGATTTATAATGATGCAGCAAGGCAGCTAAGTCTGCAGAGGATACTTGAATCTCTGACCTGTACTTAAAAGAAGCTCCTCAGCTTGGTAAAAAGCCATTTTCTGTTGCTTGACTTACCTGATCTCTGGACTGTTTCGTTATTGTAGAAACTGGTTGCAGATCCCTGAGGAAACAGAGCTCTGAAAAATAAACCAAAAAGATTGGTGAAGGTTTTCCTAGTGCTTATCTAATAATCTGTATAATTTCTACCGAAAGTTTCTAGAAAAACTTGGAACAAATAGAATGAGGAAAACTGCAAGAAGCTAAAAATCTGAAATAAGCAATTAAAAATTGAATTATAAAACATACTGAATAGTTCTTCATATACAGAATGTTAAGATACTGACACTGAATATACTTACTGCATGTAATCATGCCCAGTTTGCTAGTACACAGTGCTGATTTACCTCAGGTGAGCAGAACCCCTGTAATTTTAGGGTTCCTCATTTCAGTATGTCTTTTATGTGTTTTGGATTTACTCTCTTCCATTGAGTCATCTTCTAGAGCGTTAAAATTAAACTTCAGATGAAATTCTAGGAGGCAATTTTTCACCTTGACTACAGTAAACCCAGGTTTTAATCTGGGTCTTCTTTCTTCTTAAGACTTACCCACAGAGTCTTGTTGCCCTCAGAGCCTTGCTGACTGAGTAACCCCATTCCCTACCCTAAGCCTAAGTCATTTGAGAGTTGCTGATGCTGCACCACACTGAAGTGGTGTCAAGAGCCAATCTAAATTCCACTTGTCTTTAGTTTCAGAATGGCTGCGGTTATTGCCTTTCCTGGGTGTGCTGGCCTTGCTTGGTTACCTTGCTGTTCGTCCGTTCCTCCCCAAGAAGAAACAGCAAAAGGATAGCTTGATTAACCTCAAAATCCAGAAGGAAAATCCAAAAGTAGTGAATGAAATAAACATTGAAGATCTGTGCCTCACTAAAGCTTACTGCAGGTGTTGGCGTTCTAAGACGGTAAGACACTTTGTGCTACTGTTCTAAGACAGTAGGATTAGAGATTGAAACTTGCATATTTGTATCAGTGCTTCGGTGGTGAATTGCTACGTACCTGTTGCTTTTCTCTGGAGGTAGAACATGTTCCTGATTTTTGAGAATGGCACAGTTCTTATTTTTCTCCACGGTAAACCTATCTACATGCAGAAAGAAACTGTAGAAACTTTAAGATTAAACACAGTAGGGTTTCTCTAGAAACACTTACAGAGCGACCACCTGTGAGTAGATTAAAACCAAGTAAGCCTTGTTTAATATTTGGACATTGCAACTAATTAGAAGATAACTACTCTATTTTGCAGAAACAATGCTTAGAAAGTTGTTCATATTAAAATGAAAGTAAGGCTGGACCTGTGTTGATGAGGGAGAGCATATCCCCATCTGGTCCAGAGCAGCCAGTACATGACTGGTTTGGATAGTCCGTATCCCCCAAATCAACTAGATGTACATGGGTATTTTTCATCTACCCTCGATTTCTTTTGAATGTCCTGACTGCACTCTGGTTTTGTCCTCTCTGGACTGAATGCTTTCCTGTTCCAACAAAAAAATCTGCCCTGGACCTAAGAAACCCTCTCAACTATTCTCCCTTCAGAATAATCACTTCAGCAAAATATTTTGGTTTTCCTTAAAACAGTACTTTCTGGTTGCAAATGATTAAATCTAAGAGCACTTCTACTAGTTCTACAATAAACCTTAAACCATTTATGGCTGCGAGGGCTGTTTTGCTTGCTGTTCTTTCATGGAAAAGGCTTTGTCCCTAACTTTGTATCTAAGAACAGCAATGTTAGAACCTCACAAACCTAGTTACCCATTAGCAGTGGTTTTCTTCCTTAGTAAAATGTGTCCTGTGTCTGATAGGAGACAGGGAGTTTGATGTTGAAACGGGACATAGTAGGAGGAACTACCAACATTATCAAAGTGCTCTTTGCATAGGAAGAAGTATAAAAATCACCATGGAGTTGCTGTATAGAATTATACTAATCCTTCATGTGTTTTCTTCCAGTTCCCTGTCTGTGATGGCTCCCACAACAAGCACAATGAATTAACAGGAGATAATGTAGGTCCACTAATACTCAAGAAGAAAGAAGTATAGCAGATGCTTAATCCACTAGATCATGACTGATAAAAAGTCTTTTTATACTGTTGTAGTTGCAAGGGACAGGACAGCATTTTATTATGTGATTGGTATGATTTAGTCTGATGATTGCTGTAGATTTCTTTTTGGAATAAACTGCATTTAGACAGTGCTAAATCTGTCACTGTTTTGATACTTTATTCTGAGAAGAGTTATGTCTGCTTTGTAAAACTGTAAAGTAATTATCTCTGTAAATAAGTCGTTTATTTCAACAATAAAATGACTTCCTACAATTAAGCTGTTTTTGTATGAACATGCAATTATAAAACTGTCACTATTTCCAGTGACAGAAGTACACCTTTCTGTTGATTTTGTTCTGCTGAGAAGCCATGTTTTGTTCTGCTTTTCAGGAACAAATTTAAGTGCAGTTAAGTGGGGAAAAAAAGATAATAAATCCGTCCTTTGTGAATATACCTAAGCATATCACTGAGGGCAGGCAGCATAGCGATGTTAAGTTACATTAGGTGAAGGTCTGGCCTGTGCGGTGCCTAATTGGGCAGTTTGTTAGTCTCATGCAAAGCAGCCTGGCTCAGAAAACCCCACACGGCTGGACAGTCTCATGGTGGAGTGCTGCAGTTCCAGACCATATAAACTAAACTATCTAGCAGGTCAGCCACTAACATTACCCCTTTATTTTGGGCCCCTGTGTTGATCGTTCACGAGCTCTTGTAAGGAAACACAAATTCGCTCCTTGCAAGTTCACTTGCACTGTAGCTGCTACTTCTTGTAGCAGGGACTTTCATGGAAGGAATTGGTTAAATGACAGAACCAAGAAGGAAGAGCTGAGCTGTATTCTTGGCTTGTTACCCATTCAGAATGATTATTTGGGCAAGTCAGAACTTTGCTGTGGTACAGCTTAATTTCAGATGCAGGTAAATAATTGCTACTTACCTAACTGTTAGACTTCTAATTAATTCTGCTAAGTACTTTATTCTTCAATGAAAGACTGTACCATCAGTTTAAAAATAAAAATTTCATCCATGCTACAATTTTAGACAATTGTACTAAGGCAGATTTCAACTGTTCATTAACGGCATTTCATTTGACCCATTGTTAGGCAGGTGGGAAGCCCCAGAACGGTGTGCCATTGCCAAAGCTGATCACCACAGTGCTGAAACAGAAAGCAAGTCAGGAAGCAGTTCTCACATAATGGCTCTCACAGCAGCAGTAGAACTAAGGTAGATCATTCCTCCTGCATTTGTAACAGTTGTAGTTCTAGGTACCTAAACCTCTTGCCTTTCAGCAAAAGATGGCAGATTAGGATGTGATTGTATGTTAAATGCCTGCTTTTACAAAGCATGTAATAGAGCCATGGTACAGTCTTTAATGTTTAAATGTTTCATGGTGGTCTTAACCTTGATGAATGAGCAAACCATAAACATTATATTAGGATATAATATTCATAATAGAGGAAAATCCATAATGCTACTAAGTGTCTTATACTCAGTCTTCACTTACAGATGCAGTATATTGAACGCCAAGCCCCAATTCTTGGATTTGGTGAAGAAATTACTATGTGAAATGCAAAAGCCTGTCTTTAGTTGTTGGGGTTTTCTTTTTCCCAAGCTTCAAAACCCACAGCCTATTGTAGCAGGCTGTTATTATATACAAGTCTGCATGCGCTTCCAGCTTTTATCAGGATGCTTTTGCATTCAAATAGTTTTATTTCCTCCTAAGTCTGAGAAGTAAACTACATACATCAAAACCTGTTAGAGTAAGTAATACAGCAAAATTGGTTTTGTTTCTCTCCCAAAGCTCCTCTAGAAGGAGAACAAAAGCGTAAGGTTTAACGTCTTGACTCCATCTCTAGCACAGCTTGATTATGTAATTAATTTTTTCTCCCTGCTTGCTATTAGATGAGATTTGCTGCTAAACTATCAACAAATGTGGCTATGGAACAAATGTGTGGTTTTTGTTTGTTTTTGCTTATGTCTATAGGGGAATGGAACATATTTGTAGTATGGGCCTGCAATAGCAGCACTCAGTCACAGTTCCTTTGTAGAAAGGACATTGTAGTAATTTCTACAAGATAATAAAATGAAAATCAAGCAAGATAAATGACCATTTCCTTGCATTTCAAAATCTGTCAAGGTAATACTGTCTCTTATGGCCACAGAATTTTCTACAGAAAATATCAAAGAATTTACTAATCAGTTCAAATTATCTACCTAAAGTCTATGGGGATAGATAGCTGTAATGGTTTAACCCCAGCTGGCAACTAAGCTCCACCCAGCTGCTTGCTCACTCCCCTCACAGTGGGATGGGGGAGAGAATCAGGAGAGTGAAAGTGAGAAAACTCATGGGTTGAGATAAAGACAGTTTAATAGGGAAAGCAAAAGCCACGCACACAAGCAAAGCAAAACAAGGAACTCATTCACTACTTCCCATCGGCAGGCAGGTGTTCAGCCATCTCCAGGAAAGCAGGGCTCCATCACGCGTAACCGTTACTTGGGAAGACAAATGCCATTGCTCCGAATGTCCCCCCTTCCTTCTTCCCCCAGCTTTATATGCTGAGCATGACATCATATGGTGTGGAGTATCCCTTTGGTCAGTTGGGGTCAGCTGTCCCAGCTGTGTCCCCTCCCAACTTCTTGTGTACCCCCAGCCTACTCGCTGGTGGGGTGGTGTGAGAAGCAGAAAAGGCCTTGGCTCTGTGTAAGCACTGCTCAGCAGTAATGAAAACATCCCTGTGTTATCAACATAGCCCCATACTAGCTACTATGAAGAAAAACTCTACCCCAGCCAAAACCAGCACAATAGCTAAGAACCGAAGTGTCTGCAGAACCCAAGTGTCTGCAGAACCCTGTATCTCACCAGCGATTGAGACAGTTGAACCAATACCTGCTAGGATGTGCTTGGTCATGTCTTGCCACTGGGTGATGTTTCTGACCTAATTGCTCCACACAAGGGGATAAATTTGCCCCTAATGCTAATAAAGACCAGGACTGAGGCAGTAGACCAGGTTTTCACTGTGTTGATGCAAAATCAGGGGAAACTGAACTTGGCATGTCATGACATGCCTTTTCACTCTACAAGAACAGTAATGTTTACCTTTCTTTTGATTATGAATTTGAACAATTGTTATAATAGACTACAAATAAACTTGTAAAACAAATACGTTTAGAGAAAGGTGTCTGACTTGTGGCAACTACTAGACAAAGTAAATGTAAGTGCAGCTGGCACAAAATTTGATCCCTTGCACTCTGTTTATTTAAAAAGCAAAATGCAAAAACTCTATCATTCATTGTTTTGTGGCTGTATTACACAATGAGTGTTTCAGTTAATTTTAGACTTCAGTCTGAATTCCCTAAAATGCTCAGTTTGGCTGAAAAAGAGAGAGAAAGCAGTGATTATAATTACATTATCACTGCACCCCCTGGCCTGTGCGACTCCCTGCTTCCAGATGGCCAATTTCTGTCTTTCCCCATATGCTGCCTGCTGTAACTCTGCCCGCTGCTTGCCGCCAGGAACGTGCTGTGCCGTTAGACCCTTCTGCTGCAGAAGTTCTTGCGAACCTTCTGGAACTGCATGCACATACTGTGCCCAGTATTCTCCCACATTATGTCTGTGATTATGTCTGCGTGACAGCAGGGCTCCTCTGGTTATAGTTTACTGCACATTGTGCTCTAATTTTATTTCCTGCAAATAAGAGACTGGCATGGCATAGATTTTATTGGCTTGAATTTATGCATTATTCATGAATGATTTCATGGCATTTTGTTAAAAGGGAGGTGGTCTTAAATGTCATGACTTCACCCACACCTTCACCCACTGATAAAAAGTGAAATCACATCTCTCAAAGTTAACTGCTATTTAAAATCAGCTGAAATTGTCACAATACTTATTAAGAAAAAAAGCCTCATAGGTTCTTAGCCCAAACATAACATTTCTTTTCATGACAAGATGCAAGTGTTTTGTTTCTTTCTGGAAGGCAAGGAGAGGAGCATTATAAAGCATTAATGCTTTTCATTTTACATCTGCAGGTCTATGTAATAGCTTCAACCTGATTCTTTTTGGAGATTTAATAAAAGCTGGGAGAAAGGAGTCTTGTGAGAAACATCCATATATGGTGGCAAGGCAAGGAAAATGGATTCAATTTCATTTAGATTAGAGAACAAGATGACACTTTTCATTGGTATAGCTATTCAAGCGCTCAGAATGGTGGGAGTGATCTAATGAATAAATTGAGAGTGCACTGAGGTTAAGGGAACATGATAAATCCAATTTATGAGATGCTGTTATGGTGAGCAAGTATTAGAGGCTATCATGAATAAGGGCTGTTTGTCAGAGGTTTACTTGTATACTTAAGGTTGTGTTAAAATTTACAGGGCTATAATCCTTACACATCACACTTTGGTTATTGAACAGACTCCAAATTCGGCGTAGTGATCCCTCCCTGCAGGAAGAGTCTACTTTTTATAAAACTTTATGAAAAAAAAAGAACTATATAAAGCTTCTGTTCCTGTAAGTTTTACTCAAGTAGGATTATTTTATAGACCATCACTGATGAACTGAACACCATATTCCCTCATCTTAACAATTAGATTTACAGACATTACAATTTCCAAACACAATAAGCTCCTATTAAAACTGCCCCTATTTAAGTAACAGAGTGCCTCCGTTAGCCATGCAAAGAAGGCAGAACAGGCACAGAAGTCAATGGCCAACACAATAACCACCAAGCACAGCACCCTAACCATTCATCAGTGTGCAGTCTGAAAGCATCTTCCTTTCTGGTCAGGGGACATGCATGAACTGAACTAAAGATTGTACATTCCCCAAGGAAGCAGAGAGAACAGCAGTGTGTATATTAAGAAAAATGTCAATGTACTTGACAACTGTAAGGGGAAAACTTACCAAAGAATTCCCTGGTATTTTTATCACTGTGCTGAAATTGCAGGCTACAAACCTTAAATATTTATCAGGAAGCTTTCTTTGTGGCTTGGAGAGGAAGGCATATACAAAGGCACACATACTGAGCTATAATTAATCTGTATACAGAGACATGCGTAGACATTCTGCAAATAATACAGTTTGAGATAGTTTTCTTTTAAAAGTATTTTTGTACATTTTTGTGTTGCATGTTAAAAGTGTAAAAGCTAAAATAGAATTGATTCATTCTTACTTACTAATGCCAAAAACATCTAGGCACATCAACTATCGAGTATCCTGTAAAACGAGTGAACTGTAGTATAGAAATCTGCAAGGAGGCATTGTCCACCTTGATTATAGGCAC